CACATTGTAGAGTCATTTCAACATTGTAATATAGGTGTCAAACGCTAATAAATCAGCTGTCAAATGCTATCAAACACTTACTTTGCACAGGTGTAAATGATCACATAAAATGCAAAGCACTGATCCAGCACCAAAAATCTCTGCACATCCTTTCTGTCCTCACCAGCTTTATAGAACTGATCAGGAAAGTCCAATAGGGAGTTTATTCCTTGTTATTCAAGTTCCCACCTTTATTTGCTCTGTTTTCTTACTTCCAAGGATGTGGTGTCACCCCCACCCCAGCTGAGAGCAAGGATGGGAATGCAACAGTTCGTGTGGAATTGCTTTGAACTGATCTACATAGAACAATATTATGTTTCATAATAATGTTCCAAGTGATAAAGGATTTTTCCTGCCAAAAGCTGTCTGTAAGTGCCCCAGCATCATCAACTGATGGCAGCACAGCTCTGGGAATAAACAGACTCTCAGCTAATGGCAGCAATCGTCAGGGGAAACACGAAACAGGTATTTCTTCCTGATAGAGAATGAAACATACGATGAAAGTTAAATGCCAAATCCTACTGGCACTGGAGCGAATTAAGGTTTATTTTTCATTCCTGTTTGTTCTTTCCTCTCTCTTTAGCTATTTCATCTTGTTTCATTTGATGCCAATGGTTTTTCCCTTCTGTTGGGCCACTTCGGTGGACAGGGGGACAATTCATTTTAGGCATGTGGCTTTGAGTACTAAGATTAAAGCTTCAGGTGAAGCCCAGAGCCTGCAATGAGCACTCTGCAGGCACTCAGGGCTGTGCTCAGCCCTCCAAAGGCAGAGGTCAGCACACTGTGACCCCAAACACTTCTCTCCCACAGCTGCTGGCACAGCCCCAACGGCCTCCGTGCCATGGGCGATCCACGTGCTGCTGTGACACTCAAGAGCTTAATGCAGTGCTGAAATCAGGCTGTGCACACCAACAGAACTCCTGGCTAACCTCAAGGTAAGGTGTGTTGTACTGCAATGTTTGTTACGAAGGAGCTGTGAGGAAACCCTTGTTATCAGGAAACATCTTCACCTAACAATCCCAAATGACTGAGTTTCTCTCCATTATCTTAGACTTTCTTTGAAAAGTAAGTACATCTGACTCACTCTGGGCTGACTGAAGCACACAATGATTAAGTGGAGCTGGACTAATTTTGTATAATTCGATATGAATGTGCAGCTTCTCTGGCTGATTCATCTTCATCTTCCCTCTGACCAGCCAAAATCTATCCCAGAACACAGTTGCTCTGTTACCAGGAGCAGCATGTATGTGTATATGTACATATATATGTTCTAACCCATGTAAGATTGTTGTTTTATGACCTTAAACACAGAGGCTGTCCCAGCTGTGTTGGTGCAGAGTTGGATTGCTCTTAGAGGTGAGACCTGCAGCCTGTGGGCCAGGGACACCAGCCAGAGAATACCTGTGGGTAGCTCCTGATTTATAACAGATCTGGTGAGTAAATTGCATATTTTTTTATGGATAATAGCTTTTTCAAATAATATATCTCATGAAAGGTGAGAAATGACATTTCTGACAGCAAACCCTCTCCTTTTCCCACAACTAACCCCCTTGTATCCAGCCAGAGGACCCAGAGATGGTGGAAAGGATCTCCTGCTCAGTGAATACACATTTCAGTGTTTCTGAGAGAGCTGTGCATGCATTTCCCAACATGCAAGGCCAAATATCTTTTGAAAAAGTTTAACTGTTATAAAAGATCCAATTTTTAAAGCATTAGTTATCTTCAGAGCATTTTTATATATGGTGCTGTATCTGCTTTCATAATTTTGGATTAAGTCCACAGAATAACATAATGAAGATGTAAAATCTTACTCTACTTTGAACTGGAACTCAGAAAAAATGGGAGTTCTTTATTGTAAAAAACGAGCTCCAAAAAGAATTTCTGCCCCTACCTTAGATTCCCACAGCCCAGTGTTCATGCAAAGGACCTGAACAGGTTCAGGTCTAATCTCAAGGGTGCAAGCTGCAGCATTTGTGCTGTGCTGACACTGAACGGGCTTATTTCAATTGATTTCTTTGATGTACAAATATAAAGCAGTAGCAAATCATTATCCATCTGCAAATACATCATTATAAAAATACTTTTTTTTTCTCCCCTTCCATCCCAGCTTCAAATCATCAAAGACACCCTTAATTGCAGACAGAATTAAGAGTCAAAATGTTTATTAATAATGATCTCACAAGTGCCTAAACATGTGTAGTATGTATAACAAATGATGATAGCACATGACCTGGCTTTAAAAAACCCTCTAAATTCCTTTCCTTCCTCTCTATATCCTAGCAAGGACAGCAGTATAGGTGGATGCTATGGGACCACAGCTGGAAGCAACAGTGGGAAGTGGGAAGTGCCTCCATCAGCAGAGCTGCCAAAGGTAAGAGATTCCCCAGGCTGGGAATTGTCACATGTATTTAGGGCTCAGCCCAGGCACATCAGCTGAGGCTGTGCATGGAATTTCTAACCATTTAGATCAACCCACATTTTGTCACGTTACCAAAACTACTCTGCAAATAAATATATTAATGGGCCACTTACTTGTAGGCAGCAATTACTTAAACCAGTGTTCAGCTTTTAATGCACAGCCATGCATTTCCAGAGGAGCTGTTCTCACTGTGCTGAGCTATAGATCCACATTCACATGGAGCCTGGGCACTATTGATCCCCTTGGAGTCTATTATGGCAGCAGTGTGCATGAGATGGGATTGAGAACACTGCTGCAAAACACCCTGTGTTCAGCCAAGATCACCCTGTGTCAGCTCACACCACTCCCCTGGCTGATGCCTTTCCAAAGGCTGTTTGCACACCAGGAGATGTTTCATGTCAGAGGCAGATGCTGTGGGTGCTGCACCCCAACCTTGGCAAACCTGCAAACCCCTCTCCCAGCCCACTCTGCATCCAGATGAGCTCCACACACAAAACAAATCACCCCAGAGCCCAAACCTGCAAGACATGATGTTCCTGTCTGGGTATCAGCTCACAGCCTCAAGAGAGGAGCAGTGTGGTGCTGAAGGTGAAATGCCACCTGCCCTGCTCCACCCCTGGGCTGGCTTTAACCTGTTTGTCCCACAGGAAGTTCATCAGAGTGAGCTCGTTAGGCTGAGCTGGCAGGTAAAACCCTCAGTGGTTTGGTTTGTCAATACTTAGCAGAAACCACCACGTGAGGACTGAACCACAGAGTCAGTCTCAAGTTTGTCACTGTCCTAAACCTCAGTACTCTGATCTTTCAAACCAGCCTGGGATGGGCAAGTAGAACACAATCATCAACCCAGTCTCCACATCAGCCACTGAGATAAAAATACTACAACAGCCTTTATGGACTCTAAAGCAAATGCCCAAATTCTGCCATTTTAAAGTCTGAACTATTCAGTTACTTGAAGTCTTTCTAAGCTGCACAGTACTGGGTAACTCAGCAAAATCTGCACTTCATGGGAGCTCTGCCAGCACTGGGACAGTCAGAAATGCTGCAGCATCCCAAGGACTGTTTCAGCTCCTTTTTGAAAATAAGATTTAGTAGTAAGGTCCAATCCTCATTTCAGAGAATCCCAGTGGAACTAAATACATAGACAAAGGTGGAGTTTAGATTTGGGTGCTGCAGTTGTTCCAGTCACACATGAGGTTTTACTAAGAGTACGCAGAACTCCCAATGCTCCTGTTTCATTGCAGTAGTCAATTTTTGACTGTTTGATGAATGATGATGTGATTAATGCAGTTATTAGAACACTTAGTATAAAAATAATACGGAACAAATCAATTTTGTACATTGGAAAATATTCTGCTAAATCAGAATCACCTATAAAACAGAGATCACCTATAATCCATGATCACCTGTAAAACAGACCAACATGTTTCCTTGAACTGACATCTGGTTAAACTAAAAGATTTCTTTTAGGAACAAAAAAAATATCAGGTGATTCTATTCTGCTGTTTGCACAGTCTGTTTGCAAATGTCTGATAATGAGGAAAACATGTAGTGCTAAAAGAAATTCTGAGCACTGTACATACAGATGTAGACAGCAGTAAACACAACCACAGGAAATATATTCCCTGTAGATCTCTTTAAAGGTGTTTTTTGTTTATAAGTGACAGGGATTTAATTCAGGGCATGTGTGTGTAAACATAAGTGTACATAAACAGGAGTTTGTAAGGAAATTAGCTCAGGAATAAAGAGGGAACAGGTGATCACTTAATTCCACCTGACTCAAACCAGCCTTCAGCCCCAAGTTTTGAGAAGGGAATGCTTCAGCTGCAAAGTTCAGAATTTGGAGCATACAATGATTAGGAAAATGCTTAATACCAACCCACCCTCTTTATTAAGTCATTTCTTCAAGTATTTTTTAATAGTGCAAAGTACTGGTTTGCGTTAGTACAGTTACTATGGGAATTCACAGTAAAAAAAAAATAACCTTAAAAGATTTCCAAAGTCAAACAAAAAAAATTTTTAATACTGTATTTTTAGCAAGAACATTTTTAACAAAGAATGTGTACTTTAACTTAATATGGTACAACAGAGAAACCATACTTAAAAGTTTCCATTATCTAACACTCTACTGCATATTCATTTCTCCATCTTAAAAGACCAAAAGCCAAGCTGAACTGAGCATTTAAAAAAAAAACAAAAAAAAAAAAAGAAAGCATCAATTATAATCCTCATATTACGTCAGCTATTAGGGTTTAGCTCACACTTCTGAATTGGTCATCGAATGAAAGGACAATTTTTTACATCGTTCTCTTAAAAAATGTACACACATTTCTTTTTAAAACGTAATATATATCGAGTATCTGCTTCAGTAAACAAAGCTTAATTTATAAACACAATCGAAACAGCTCCATGTTGAACAGTTTCAGTGATGAACTGGACTGGTATGATGTACAGCCAGTGCTGACTGCTGTGGCTTCCAATCATTGTGCCATTGCTATCCAGTAATAGCTACTCCTCAGGGGTGGGGGAAAGTTCTTTCTGGGGTGGGGAGGGGAGGGGGAGTAATTCCTGTGTGTGCTTAAAAATACTAAAACTCCTTTCTATCTCCAGGGGGACCTAAAAATGATCTGTTGCAACAGGCTTGGTTTGGTATGGTAAGCTTGTCCAAAGTCTCAGTATCATTTAACACGGCAGTTTTCGATGCAGCAACAGTAAATTGCTTGAAATTGTCCTTCAAGTTTCATGCTACAAATCCTGTTCCTCACACAGCACTGAAGGCATCAAAGGTTGGAAGGGACGTTTCTCAGGAACTATATAGTCTTCAAATAGTGGTCATTGTACATTTTTCAACACGAGGTGGTTCCTTCAGTACATAATGGTTGGTTTGATGTATGTTCTGTTTTCTAGAGGGGGGAGAAAAAAAGAAGAGAAAAGGTTAGTTGCACAGTTAAACAGTTTGTAATTAAGTGATGCCTAGGTGTTTCCTCACTTGTTTGTGGAGTTTAATTTTCTCAAGACAAATGGTCAGATCTACAAGTGATACAAACAAAATTCTCCATTATGTGAGGGTGTTTTATGTAGGAAGAGGAGGCAGTGGGTGACAGAACCTGGCCAAGCCTGGTGGATATGGATGTTTGGCAGGGAAATGATCTGGTCTGAGGGCACTGGGCAACTCCTCACCCCGGGCAGAGGTGTAGGCACTCCACTGGGCTGTGTGAGGCAGTGCTTCCAGCCAGCAGCTGCTGAGGACAGGCTGCAGATCCTTTGATTTGGATTTTCTTCCTTGATGGCATTTGCTTTATAATTGAACACTCATTTTCCTTCTTTTTCCCCCAGAAGGCAGCCCGGGCTGCCTTCCCTCCCCCTCAGACAGGCTGAGCAGCTTTACACCAGGCCATTATCACATGCACAGAACCTGCCAGGGAACAGTGTGTTAAACCAGAACAGCACTGCTTCAAAAAAGTGTAAATCTGCTCCTGGAGAACTGCTCCTTCATTCAGAAACCATCCCATTTTGCTTAAAATTCTATTTCTTTATTTAGAGAATGAAGGAGGAAAAACCACTCGTTTCCTTCATAAAAATACTCCTAGTTACAGTACCTATCAACTGTGATTTTTCACATTAAGCAACTTTAAGCCCAGAGAAAAAATAAATATTGAAGTGCCCACAGAAACTGAAGCTAACAAGAATCCATATTCCTGTTCATTATACAATGAATCATGAATCCACCCAGCTAAATCCACAAGTAACTGATCTGGAAGATGATAGCAAAATGATAATATGGAGAAGCATTTTGTATAATGTTGACATCTCTCCCATTACTGTTTTACATATGCCAATACTGAACACTCCTAAGGAACGAACAAGTATTGACCTGCTAACTGACACTGATCCTTGGAGCAATCTCCAAGTTTGCCACATTTCAATTTCAAAATGCATTTCAGCTATAATATGAGTGATTTATCATTTAGCAGTAGCTGTCAAAGTAACCTCCTAGATAAAACAAAAACATCTGGAACCATAAACAGAGGAGAGCAGTAGCTGAATTTTAATCCAAATCCGACATGTTCACTTCATTAGGAACAGGAAACAGCTAATTAGTAATTGAATGTTTCATGGTTTTAAGGAGGCTCAGACTCTCCAAACTGAAATGATTTAATATGTATTTTGGATGCAAGCAGAAATAAAGATCAGAAGAGCCAGAGACATAACAGCTCCACAGGAACATTTGGGAGCATGGAAACCTCCAAAGAAGTGACTAGAATTAGTTTCAGGTCTTTGGCTGATGAAAATTATTGTCTTAAACTTAGTGAGGGAAACACTAAAGCCTGGGGAGTGGGTGAGCAGAAATGCAATACTGAACACTGTGGATTTTGCTTGGGTTTGGTTTTCTTTCCCCTTTTTCTCTGTCTGATCACTAAGAAGTTGCCCATGGCTTCTTCCCAGTGCAGGTTTTTCTTGGTATTTTGTACTTTTAATGGTATTTTTAAAACTATTTTTCAAACTAAGGTAAGATGTGGACACTAAGGGTACTGAGGGCTGATGGACTGACTAAACTTTAGAACCAGTTTTCATTTTTCCTTCCAATTCCCTTTACTTCTCAAGGAATTTTCAATGGAAGTATCTGGAATACCTGTAAGAAAGTAAATACCACAGTTCAAACCCAGTGCAGCCACTGATCAGTGAACAGAAATTGCAGAGTTAAGTATTTCCTGTTTTATAACACTCTCAATTATTCTCCAGAAATTAAAATACTTTTTTTTTGTTGCTGTGCAATAAACTCAACTCCACAGCACTAACCACGTCATGCAGCAACCACCTCTGAGGAATGAACGTGCTGGGAGCAGCTGTGCCCCCACTTACACAGGAAAGACAATGTGATGTTGTCAAATTAATCTCTGCTGGAGAATATTCACATCTCCTCAGTGCAGCTGACTGCAAGCTACAGACCATTTTATAGCATTTTACTGTATTATCCAGCCAAGATTTGAATAAATCCGTGTGCAATAAATGTATTCTTTTATCAGGTTTATCCCTTAATCAAATATTCATTTATGTGGGCTTCATTCTATTAAAAACCGAAATGATACAAAGGTGAGCAAAAGTGGAGATTTACAGTAGTTTAAAGCCTAATCTCGTTCTCTAGGGGTAATACTGACAATATAAAAACTGTATAAATGATATTCCCTAACACTAAATATGCTTATGAGCCCCCAGTGCACGTTACACTGCTTTACAGCCTACAGTGCAATGCATGACTGGCTTAATAAGCAAGACATTTAGAAAGGGTTTTTTTTTCCCCTTCACAATGTATAAGACAAGTCAAGATCTCAGAGCTCCTTGGTGAGCCAGAGCCTGTGTTAAGAGCTGGAATTTTCCCTCAGGATGGTGTTGTCTTCCCTGAGCTGTTAGCCTAAGGTGTATTCAGCTCTTGAGGTCCTTTTAGCCACAATATCAGCATTTGTCTTTTTCTTTCAAGGTTTTCATGTGTGTACAAAGGACAAATCCAAAGGCAATAATCATTATCTGCATATTTGTTCACATTTAATTTTTCCTTTTCTTTTTTTTTCAGCCTATCCAACATCTTTGAGTTTTCTGAATCCTTTGTGAATCTCCGTCTTCAGTTGGGAATTCAAGCTGTATTTCCACAAAACTGCTTTAAACCAAAATCTCCACAGTGTGTCCTGGCAATGCTGGTGTGCAACCCCAGACCAGAAAGGGGTCCAGCTGCAGCTACACCTTGGGAGTACCTTGCCAGGTAACTGTGGCACACTAAACTGGTGGAGAAAGTCACCGGAGGAAGGAAATTTGGAATCTGCTATGAAAATGGGGAGAAATTTGTTGTGTTGTTAACTGTAAATTAGCAATGCAATATCTAAAATACAACTCAGCACTACAGGTTGCAGAGATGAAATAACAAATTGGAAATCCCAAATGAGCTGGAGGAGCTGGGAGAGCAGCTGGAATAGTCAGGTGAGCTGAGACCTGACTGCCTGCAGCCAGGGGAGCAGCAGGAGGGGAGAGCACAGACCTGTGCACTCAGAGCTTTTGCACAACTCATGTTTGAGGGATTAGATCCACGAGTCTTGTAAGATACCACAAATACTGTACTGGACAGGAGCTGATCTCTCCACCCTCCCCAGGCTGTGTGAACAGCATCTCAGTCAGATCAGAGCCAAGCTCAGCTTTGGCTGCAGCCACACATGGGAAACAGAATGCTGTACCAACAAATTAACTTGCAAAGCTGGGGCTAATTAGTTTGAACTAGTCTCTTATTTTGCAGAAAGAAAAAGAAAACAATCAGAGAACAGTTTGCAGCTACTGTGGATCACATCCCTAGAAGAAAACCTTTCCCTAAACTCTGAGCAGACAGGAGTGCTGCCTGCCTCAAAGGATGCTGCACCCAAGGTAATGTTCATGGGTAGGGAGCACAGCAGTTACAAACACACAGCAAAGGATCCATTTTTTACCACGATAAAAACAAGACCTGGTTGGCAGCCAGTCCTCATGGATTTCGGCTGGTCCTTCAGCTGCATAACAACCAGTAAAACTGACTTCTTTCCCTGCTTTTAGTTCAGCAAAACTTCTTCCTTTTATCTGCAAAGATTTTCCCAAACTGAGCAGTTTCTTCCCCACTTATTTTGTACTTAGGACTACTGAGTCCACCCTGCCAAATATTTTCACATCCATAGAGCTAAGAAAACTTGTACTAAAAATGGGATTTCTATTAAATAACAACAGCCAAGGACAAGTGTGTGTGCACTGAGCAGACTGTGCAGGTGCTGGATTGCCATGGGCAGTTGGAGCAGACAGGGAGAAAAAACAGTGGTTCCTGCTTAGGAAGAGATTTTTTACGGAGAGAGTGCTCAGGCATTGGAATGTGCTGCCCAGGGAGGTGGTGGATTCACCATCCCTGGAGGTTTTCAAGCTGAGACTGGATGTGGCACTTAGTGCCATGGTCTGGTAATCACGGCAGGGTTGGACTTGATGACCAGGTCTCTTCCAACCTGGTTGATTCTATGGTTCTATGATCTTCAAACCTACAGACACTTAATTACTAAATCAGTATTTTAGCCCTTTGTAAAAACAGAAAAATACAACCTTCACACTCCATAGTATCCTGTGGAAACCTTTACCCACCTTTAGCTTCAGGGAAGTCATAAAATCAGTGTCCTCTCTCATGTATGTGTGTGCTTAGACAGAGACACCCAGAAAAACACTGTGTGCCACAAGGAAAATAGCTCTGAGACTAAACTCAGCCATGGCAATCAAATCCTGGCTAATCACTGAAGAGGGCCCTGTTTTGGTGAGCAGCTGATGAGGTGACTCTCAGCTTAGTGTATGGGTATGACAGGCTGCTCATATGAACTTTAAAATTTAGAAACACTGCAATGACACAGCACAAGGTAATTCCTAGGGGTTTAATAATTTGGAGCATCCAGAGCAGGACAGGCACTGGAGCCATAGCTTGGGCATGTGGAAGAAGAACATACCTAAGACAAAAAAAGAAAGTTGGATGTGAAAACCAACTGGTTAAATCAGAATACTGAAAAAATATAGACCTGTTTCCTACATAATACAAACTAACACATGCTTCAAACTTCCAACAGTCCATCAACTTTGGCAAACAGATAAAACCAAAAAGTTGTTCATGGTAACTGTTATAGTTTCTGTGCCAAATCTCTGCCAGGTTATATCCCAAACAAAAGCAGCAACAGCAGCCCTGGGTCACCTCCTGTTGTAGGTAGTGACCCATGCTATCACCTCAGCAAAGTCTGGCCATGCTGCTGCCTCCTTGAAATCTAGTATTTTACTTTTTTGTAAATTGTTATCATCAAGTATTATGGTTAACATCTATTTTTTAACATTTTAAGCTAACATTGCTCTGCTGATTGTTCCAATATCCCCTAACAATGAAATATCGTAACACAAAAGTTAACTAAGGTATAAACATGCAAAAGGAGAAGTCTCCCTGTGATCATAAAATGATGTTATTTTCTGTTCAGCAGTTCATGTTACTGCTGTTCATGCTAATTAATTAAAGGAGCTGTTGCTGTAATGTGCAAACAGGGAATCTGAGAAACTGAGAGGGCTTTTAGGTCTCGGAGTGAAGTTAAGTCAATCTGGGCTCGGGCAATCAAATGTAATGAAATCACTTGTCAGTGCTAAGCTTGCAAAAACTGTGAAGTTTGACTAGGGAGTAAAAGGATTATAATTAGATTTCCAATAGGATAATAACTAAATGGCAGAAAGCAGTAAAGAGAAAATATTACTTTGTTAGCTAATGGTGCTGCTGTTCGGTTTTAGTTTTTATCAGCACACTTGTAGTTGTGCTAATTTAATTTGCTTTTATCAGCAAAAATGCACCACTCGAATGGTACTTGAATGTCATTTGCAAAAATCATTGATCTGAAGGTGCACTTAATGACACCCAGTATGTTTATTTTATGTGAAAGGGAGATTGGTTGATAAAATGCTTGATGCACTACCATGAGCGACGGGAGGGAGAGCAGGAGGAGAGTCTGTGTGCTCATCACCTGCTCAGGGGCTCCATGACCACTGCACCCAGTCCTGTCCTGTCAGCTGAAAACCTCTCAGATCACCTCTGAGCTAGCAGATCTGTCATACAGAGGACGGAGGGCTTAGACTGAAAAGTTAACAAAAGTTTGAAGTCTCGTCTGCACGAAATTTCCCTTCCATTACCACACAGAGCAGAGGGAAAATGAGTCAACTAAATGGAACAGATTTATACTGCAGATCAGGAACGCAGCACATGAACATCTTGTGTTAATAAAATCGTTTTAAGAAATGAGCATAAAATATGATACGACTTAATCATTGGGAAAGGTGGCTGGGCAGTATTTCTGTAATTTTCCTTTAAACCGACTTAAGGAGATACTGGCAGTGGAACTAATTGAATTTCAAAGGAAAGGCACTGTGTGAATGATAGACTTCTGTCCAGCAGAGCTATTGACAACAGGAAAAGAAAGGTCTGCATTGATGCTAAAGCTTTTTTCTGTGCAATAGAGAGAGATTTTGGAAACAGCTTTGTACTAGGGACATGTGTTTTGACCCTTTCTCCTCTCAGGGCCTGAAAAACAAAGGCAGCAAATGACAGGGGCAAGGAGGGAGTGTGTTCAAATTGTTAAAGCTGGCAGCATGATTGTGGCTGTGAGGAACACAAATGGTAATCAGAGGGAGAGAGAATAAAAAGTTATTACAGAATCAGCATAAATAAAAATGAAAGAGACGGTGCTACAGGAGAGAAACACTTTGAAATCTAAACAAGCTCGAGAGAGAGCTCTTCAGAAAGCTTTTTATCAGCTGAGAGTGCCCAGTGACCAACTGGCTCAGCTCCTCACACGTTTGCATGTGAGCAGGATTACTGTTACAAGTAAAGAATGAGGTAGTTGGGATCAGATTAAAAAGAGGAAAAAAAACCCAAGCCAAAACCCAACCTGAAATAAAAATGATAAAATCACAAGGTTTTCCTGTGTATGAATAAACTGCAGGTAGTGCTAGAAAGTTCTCTTAATTCCTTCCAGTAAGCAAATGGTTGTTGGAAATGCCTATGCACCACTTTCCCCACAGTATCTCTAATCATTTTTGATGGGAAGTCACATCTGAGCCAAGTGTAACTTTTTTCCTTCAACTGAAAACTGAAATTTTTTTTTTCTTTCCTAGCTTCTGCCCAGCTGCACCTTTGACTCTCAGAATTGTTTTGGAAGAGCTCTGAGCACTCATCTCAGCAGGTACCGTGAACAGATCAGAAACGTTAGGAACATTTTGCCTGTCAAATTTAAATACATGTGTCCCTAGTGCTTATCCAATATTTTGACTATTTCTGGCAGCAGCAGTTTTCCAATTGCAATATTTAGAGCACAACTCTAATCATATGTGTGCATATATATCCACACACATATGTTATATGTGTGTATATATATATATATGCATTACAATAAAGCTGTGATTCTCCTTCCCTGTAATACAGAGCATATGAACCTAAAATCACAAGAAGAGACAGCAGTAAAAATATTTGAAAGCTTTGCTGTGTGGATGACAGATGGACGACAGATGCATACCAGAGGTATGTGAAGTCAAGCCTTCACCAGTTGAGAAATGCTCAAGTGAGGTTTGTGTCTGTAACTGTGCTGCAGCCCTTGTTCTGTCTGCACAGAAGGGAACTGTCTTTAGTTGCCTCAACACATGTATTTTTTGCACGTTACCATTGCATGATGCAGTAGAAAGGGTGGAAGAAGGAGCTATGTTGAAGGAGGTAACTGTCTGCAGGCTCTGAGTGGTCTGGAATGACCATGGCACAGGACTGAAGGCAGAAAAAGGTTGGTTTTACAGAAAAATAACTCTACAAACTGGGCTTTCCTCTCAAGACAGAGAATTTCGAGGTTCAAATTGATCAGAGCAAATCTGATCACAGGCTGATTTTCAGCATGACTCAAACAGGCTTCAAATGATAATGGGAACATCCCTTAGGGCTCTGTAGCTCCCCCAAAGGATGATGACACAACTCCTTACATCACAGACCTGTAGCCAGAATGCATCTATTGCTCTCTGGGAGGCACTCAGACAATACACAGAGGTGCTGTATTTACACACAGGCACTGAAAAGGGAGGAAAAAGGAGCACTAACTAGTTACCCACAACATGAACATGGATTTCCTCTTCCACATACAGTTTGGGTTTTTTTTCAAGACACCTGTGATCCTGATAGGTAAGTAAGGGTCAGAGGTAAAACACTTAAAAAAGATAAATCAAATGTAAAAATCCCTTTTGAACTTCTCTGATAGATAAACATCAGGTTCCCACACCTCTACTTAAAGTTAATTTCTAGCCTTGTAAAGTACTGGTCTTTCAAAGGTTTTTCTGTATCAAACAGGACAACAAACTGAAGTTCTGCAATTGACATTTATCTTAAAGCAGGAAAACGAAATCAAAACTATTTAGCATTCTATCTAAATTTTAATACAACCACATAGGTGAAGGGCTCTGGTACATACTGCACCTTGCATTGCTGCACTGTCATGTTGGGTCCCGTTGTGTTCTATTTCCATTTCTGGGATTCCAGCATCTGCAAGATGGGAGAGAGAAGATTAATGCACTCCCCTTTGCCCCTCTCTGATGCATCTTTAGACAAATATTCATAGCAAACTCGGGTGATCTCCAAGTTACACAGTCTCGCATCAAACATTTGGTCCTCATAGAATTTTCAGTAGTAAATTGTTTCCAAAATGTGCAAACATTAGTGGGCTCACAGTGAATTATTTTTAACGTGCTTCACATTTGCCTGATGATCAGATAATAACCCACACGTGGTATTAATATGTCTGTAAAAGCCTCTTGCAGCACGAGGGCATCTGACATATGAAAAATCAAAGTTGAAATGAAACTGTGATCATATTAAACTACACTGACTCTCTTGTATAGCCAAACACCTTCAAATGACAGAATTTCAGGATGTGAAATTTCAGCCAGTGCCAGGCAACAGTTTGGGGGGTGTATGCCCATCAGTTTTATGAGTGCAGGTTACAGAGAAGAGCTGAGCAAAACCTCAGCTCAGGATGTGTAAGCACATGTTACCACCCAAACCCAAAGTACATCTCTCATAGACTGTGAAATATTTCCACATTTCTAAGAGCTTTCCAAAGAAGACTGTGCTCTTTTTTCCAAGTTGAGATGGAGTCTCACAATGATACTCACTTTGGAACTGTTTAATTTCATATTGGTAATGCCTCTGCACAGTCCTTGGGGTGGGGGCAGGGGCTCCAACACCCCAGGGTGTTCCCATAACAGATGCCATTATCCACCTTGTGCCAACAAGGATTAGCATGAAGGGGATGTGATTTGAATCCATGGCACCTCAAATCCTGCAGAAACATCTGCTTCCCTTATAATACAGCACTTAGAAATTACAGCAAGGAAAAACCCACACCTGAAAGGGAGATGTGTGCACAGTTTGGGAGATTTTCTGTGCAAGAGCCTGTTCTGGACTTTCCCAAATACAGAATAATTGTGTTGCTTTGGTAGATTCTCTTAGCTGGAGGGTCAGTCTCTGTCACAGAGAGAATGTTTTGCCCTACAGAAACTGAGCTCTGTGTGGGCAACCTGCAAAGTACAGGCCTTACACAGGAGATTAATGAGTAACATCTTAGTAGTATATTTGTAAATGAAATATGTCACATATGCACATAGAGCTCTATAAATATCAAAGAGCAATATTTTCACTTATACCATTTTTTCTTATAAAATTAGGAGTGACTGCTATTCCATAGGGTTTCCCTTCCTCAGATTCCTTTTTGAAGGTAAGTCCAGGGCACTGATCTATCAATCTGAAAAGGTTCTTTCTTTTCAAACCCTTCAGAGTACATGTTGCCTATACAAAAAAATTACAAAGTCATCTGTAACTAATAACAGCATCTGTTCGCTGAGACAGACCGTCAGAGTTAAATTAAAAATACTCAGAATAGCCCTTCACATTTTGTTGTCATAAAATTGTACCTGCAATTAAATTGTGGATTAAGATGCTAATGAGCTACCTGATTTGCATGTGCAATCAGATTAGCATGTAAATATCAGCTTCTCCCAGGCACTAACATATATATGACTACCTGAGTGTGCCTGCAAATCAAACTGTTAGCAGCCAGGCCCACACTAGCAGCTGTAAAGATGTGTTAATCACACTGCTGGCACCTTGGTACCTCTGGATTTGTGGCTTCCAGAACTGCTGAGTGCTCCTGACTCTGTGAGCAGCAGGTGCTTCCCCACGACAGCACAACTTGGGTGAATGACCTTACTGCACGTCAGGTTTTAGGGTGTTCTGGCATTCAGCCCAAGGTGGGATCCAGTCTGGGCATCTCTGTCTGTGGGATCCTATCTGGGCATTTCTCTGACCCAGTGGAGATGGGGGAAGAAAAGGTTTCTGCTGGCTCTGTTCACCCACTCTGCTCTGGGTCACTGTCCTCCACATGATGTGGCTGTGAGCTGTGGATCCACTCCTGATTCCCCACAGGTGGTGACAGGCATGTGCTGGGCAATAAAGCCCAGCAGCTGAGGATGCCTCTGAAAGATGCTGCTCTTGTACTGAAGGAGTTTCTCTCTGTGGGTGCTCCAGACAAATCACAGCTCACAGTCCATCGCAGAGCATTGTGGCAGCAGCTCCCACAGACAGGATTGTCCTGACTGTGAAGAACAGTCTGGGCAGCCCTCACAACAGAGAACTCCCTGTCTTTACTCAGCACTTCAGGCAGGTTTTGCAGTCTGCAGCACTAGCAGTGCTCTGAGCAAGCAGCACAAATAACACACAGACCACAGGACACACAGACACAGCAGAGACAATGTCACTCTGACTCCTCTCCTGCTCCTCAGGGTAGGGATGCACAGACTAAAGCTCAGCTACAGAACCTGAAATGAATCAAACCTCAACTACATTAAATCTGAAATATTCAAACCAAAGCTCTAAACTTTGGTCAGAACCATCTTAAGCAAGAGAGGCAAATCCTTCCAGTACCCAGAACATAATCACCACTTAGGAGATGAACTGATTTGCTTTTGTTTCACAGGAATATTTGGGAAGTATTCAAAACCCAGTCAGCTCTGAAAGCTGATACATATTTAACAAACTCAATAGGACCTGAGGCTGAGCAAACTTCAGCCAAAAGGCTTTGAAAATGAAGCTCAGCAGTTCTAAAAATGAATCTGCTGGGAGAGAGGAGTTCAGAGAACCTTATAGGAACCAAATTTCACATTGTCTTAGCTGGCACTGTAACAGATTTCTCTGTAATATATTCAGCATTTCTTGTCATCTCTGTGTAAACTGCTCTGTCTGTTTCTTTAGTTGCAGACTTACTTATTTTTTTTAATTCATGACCCAGAGCACATGGCCTGAAATAGATTTTTCATTATTTCAGGAAAGAATTGTGGGGTTTTATTCTGGAATTTGCTTGGTGCATGATCTTGGGTTGTTTTTTTTTTAAACTCAATTAAACATCATTTTAAGCTGTGCAAGGCCAACTAAGACATTACCATTTAACATCCTGAGACCGTCACCTGATGTGGCCTGTTTAAGAGCCTGTTCCACTTGTTCTCTCCTCTTGGATTCGAATTCCAAAGCCTCCTGCAATTTTCTCTTTGCCTTCTTTTCTTTCTTCAAGCGTTTTTGAATTGTTGCTGAAATATAAGTATATTGTAAGAATGGCTGTTAAGGCACAATTAATAGAGAATGGAGACAGTAAAACATTAGTTTATGGTCAATATTCAAAGGGAAAGTTCCAGCTTGAGGCCCTGACACAGATGGAGACAGACTCCTGAATGTAGCAGAGATTCACTTTTAGTTACATGTTCTAACATTTAAAGGAAATGGGATTTATTTCTGCAGGTGAACTGTCTGTGTGCAGTGTGGGACAACATGAACTGTCAGTACTGAAGATGTACAGACTGAAACCCCAGG